GTCAAGCGGTCTTATGTTATGTTTATGCTCTATTATGCATTTCATGTGCAATAGGCCTTATTCAAGTAACACCTCCTTGTATCTATAATCGTTTTCCCGCGATTGGATTTGCGCCTATCCCCGATCATCTGGATTCACTTCCAAGATCGAAAATAAAGGCAATTCGAACGTACTGGCACATCTGGCGTAAGTGTGCCCTTACGGCACACTGACCCAGTTTGAGCTTTTAGCGTGTGCGTTCGCCTCATGATCCGCTCAGCCTCGAAAGAGGTTTCCACTTCCCCCTTTAGACCACCGACTCACCGAGAGCCTCAAGACGAAGCGAAGTGCCTCCCGTTCCTTCCCCTAGCTTCCCTGCAGAGCTTGGACGCGACAAAAACGATAGCTCGATTCCTGTTGCGTTCACCCCCCCCCCCCCCCTTTTTTTCCATGCGTGCGGAGTTTGAACGCAACAGAAAAAAACATTCTTGTTTTATGTTATTCGTATATATATAGCGTCACATATTTAGATTAATGAAACAAGAAGAGGATGAAAAATTTGAAAAGTTCGTGGTCCGTCCAAGAAATCAAGCAAGAAAATGTAAATTTTCAGATGCAAACGATATAATTGAACATATAATTGATCAAATAACAGAGAAATGTAAAATAAAAGAATTAAGAAAGAAAATATTACTAATGTTGGAAGAAACAATCAATTTAGACACAATCATCACAGAAGCTAACTCACTAGAAGCCGTAACTCGACAATTGGAAGACTTTTCAGAAACAGACACGAAACAAGAAATAAATAAATTAGAAATGACAAAAAAGGTATCAAAGCAAAATGTTCTCGATGTGGGAACACAAACCACTTAGAAAACAAAAGGAAATACTCGGCATGGAGCAAGAAATGCCTTAAATGTGGTTACATAGGCCATTACAGAGAATATTGCAGAACGAACAAGAGGAAATTCTCCAGAGATAAAGATAGCAACAAGGAAAACATCCAGAATATGAAAAAGACAAAAGTAAAAAAAGACAAATGATACTAGATATATCGGGGATGATTACATATTACACATTGATGACGATGACAGCTCCATTACCGCTACATTGGCAGGAGTATTCGTTAAATTACTTTATGAATTAATAGATTCAGGAAGTAAATGTAATTTACTGACGGATAAGACATGGGAAAGGCTAAAAGATAAAAAAATTCGGGTATATGATCAGATAAGAAATCCGGATAAGATTTTCATGCCATATAGGAAAACACAGCCCTTAGGAGTAAACGGATCTTTCGAAGCCGATACAACAATTAATAATATCACAGAAAGATCTACATTCTACTGATAAAAGATGGAACGAAGGATCTCCTTCGGAGGGCAAGATCACTGCTAAAGCCTTGGGAGTATTGCGCATAGGATTAGGAATAAACACCATAGAAACATTTTCAAAGCTCGAGAACATCCTTGTCGACTTCCCCATCAACCCTAACATTGAACAGGGTTGGGCATGTATTAAACATAACGTATTATACATGGTTTTTATACCATATAATACCGTATATTATACGTATTATACGTACGTTTTATACGTTTTATGTATATTATACGTATTATACGTAAGAAACTATTCGCAGCTCTAAATTGCCCAACCCTGACATTGAACCGATATGCTAACCATACAAAAGAATACCCATTCTCTTGGAGACAAAGGTGAATAATAAAATTAAAGAGCTGATTGAATCTGACATAATAGAAGAAGTGAACGAACCAGCTAGATGGGTATCTCCAATGGCGCCAATTTTAAAAGAGAATGAGAAAATAAGGATTTGCATCGATATGAGAAGAGCTAATGCAGCAATAATTCGAGAAAATCATCTTCTACCAACTATGGACCAGTTATTGCCAAAGATCGGAAGAGCGAAGTTTTTTGTCAAAACTGGATATAAGAAATAATTCCTAACTCCAGGCATATAACCACATTTATCACAAACAGACTGTGCCGATATAAGAGATTAATGTTCGATATCTCATGCGCGCCAAAAAATTTACCAGAAAATCATGGAAAGGATATTAATCACACATGAGGGCACCATCAACTTCATTGACGATATCCTCATATTCAAAGAAGAACATGATCGACGATTAAAACATACGCCAAGGGTATTACGAGAAAACAACGTTATGTTAAACACAGGAAAGTTTTTTACAATTTTATTTAATATAGCAACTTGTTTCTTTAACTTAATCTAAATAACTTATACTGTAAAACCATATATTGGGTGTTTTCCAATAACGTATACAGGTGACACAGTGTAACATTGTGTCTTACGTAAAGTGTTCCAACTGTAACACAGTGTTACACTGCTTGACACTGTAAAAAGCTAAGTAGTAAGCGTGTAAAATATGTACATGCTACCAACTTTTCAAAAAAGTTATTTGGTAGCCGTACTTATTTTGCAATAAAACTTTCAAAAATCGCCCATTCTGAAAAAATTATAACTTAAGTCTAAATTAAAGTCATAAATCTATTATTGATACGCTAAATATAATTATAAGAATAAGAATGGAAGACTACAATACATTCTGGTGTTACACTATGAAACTAAACTTCCAACAAGTATCTTATACACAGTGGAACATAGTGTAATGTTATGGGTCCTAGCTGGAAAATAACTACTATTGTTATTATTATTATTTGTGCCTCCATTTTATTATAAGCTGTTATATTTTGTATTTTTTAACATTCCATTCAAGAAATTAATATCAGATGCCATCTTCCAAGGTTAAGGTATAGATTTATTTTGTGTGTGTTAAGGATTTGATATTTTTATAATTACTTACATTAAAAAACCGTTTTTTCCCAGTTCCAGGTTCTTTCTTCGGAAAAATTCCAAGAAAGATAGGTTCTTTCCCGACGATTTAAATTTCCCGGGAAATTAACAACACTACCTGGCCCATTCCGAGGCAGGACGCGACATTGGAGAAAGAGGTGGAATGGCTGCGGGGTATTATGACGCGAGCATGCCCCGCAACCAACCCATGTACCGCCGGGCCGCATACTGGTTGTTTTCCAGCTAGGACACAGAGACGTTACACTGTGTTCCATTGTGTAAAGTACTCGTTGGAACGCAGATTAGTTTCATAGAGTAATACCAGAATGCATTGCAGTCTTCCATTCTTATTCTTATAATTATATGTAGCGTATCAATAATAAATTTATGATTTTTATTTAGACTTAAGTTATAATTTTTTCAGAATTGGCGATTTTTGAAAGTTTTATTGCAAAATAAGTACGGCTACCATATACGTGTCATAGTTGAAACACTTTGTGTAAGACACAGTGTTACACTGTGTCACCTGTGCACGTTGTTGGAAAACACCCACTGGTGGACGGAGGAGATAGCCGATTTAAGGCTCTCCTCCATCGCCGCTAGATGGAGATACACGCGAGCCCGGCGGCGCGGAATGGAAGAGGCGATAACGGGAGTTCTAGACGCGCTGAAAAAAACGCGCCAGACGCTTCGCGTGGCAATAAGACGGACGAAGGCTAGAGCCTGACGGGACCTGGTTGTAGAGATCGACTGCGATCCATGGGGGCACCCATACAAGCTCGTCACTAAGAAGCTGAGATTAGGGTCCCCCTTCACCGAGGTCCTGGACCCCTGGTTCTTGGACATGGTAGTGTGGACCCTGTTCCCAACAAGGGGACAGGAGATTTCCCCGATGGGAGAAGACCCCCCGGAGGGATGAACCGGGGAGCTGAGAGTCACCGAGCTAGAGATGGCGACGGCTTTCGCCCGCTTTAAAGGACGCCCAAGGACCCTGACGGAGTCCCGCATATGGTGGCTCGCGCAGAAGAAATAGGCGATCGCCTAATGCCTCCGGCACACCAGCGCGATGTTCGTCGCGCGCGACACGCGATATCCAATGAGTGTATAGCTTTACGATGTTCTCATTCTAAAGGTATATTCTCATAGGATATCGCGTGTCGCGCGCGACGAACATCGCGCTGGTGTGCCGGAGCCATAAGGCACCTTTTTACTATGTCTCGAGAAAGGGAAATTCCCCACCGCGTGGAACAGGGCTAGGCTTGTCTTCTTGAAAAAAGGAGGGCAAGCTGACAGACAGTCCTTCCGCGTATAGGTCAATATATTTGCTGGACGATGTGGACAAAATGCTTGAGCGAATCATCACGGACCGCATCGTCCGGCACTTGTCCCGGGACGGCCCCAATCTATCTGACGGACTAGTTTCCGAGAAGATAGGTTCACGGTGGACGCGATCCGCCGTGTGAGGGCCCTCTCAGAGCGCCTCGTGTCGGAGGGGGATGCTGTGTTGACAGTGTCGTTGGATATTTCCAACGCATTCAACAGCATCTCTTGGGGCCGCGTAGTAAAGGCACAGAGGAATCATTACCTCTTGCCTCCCTACATACTCTCGATCGAGGACTATTTCCGGGATAGATGGCTGGAGTTCAGATGTAAATCTGGATTCCTGCACGACAGGGAAGTGTCGTGCGTCGTTCCCCAGGGGTCCGTGTTGCCCCCTACTATGGAATGCCGCGTACGGTTTTGCGAGTGGCTCTCCCCCCCCCCTGCAGCCACGTCGTCTGTTACGCAGATGACACGCTCGTGGTTATTGGGGGGAACAGCTGGAGAGAGACGGTCGCCCATGCCAATACGGCAGTGGCGGGTGTCGTCGCCTCGATAGAGGAGTTAGGCCTGAGGGTGACCCCCACGAAGACAGAAGCTATGGTCTTCTACGACGAGTCTCGCGGAAGGCTGCCCAAGGCCCATATTAAAGTGGGGGACAGCCTAGTCCCGGTGGGGCTCTCCATTAAATACCTGGGGCTCCATTTGGATGGCCGCTAGAGCTTCACCAAACATTTCTCGGCGATAGCTCCAGGATTGAGCAGGAAGATAAATGCACTCAGCGGCATCATGCCCAATCTCCGTGATCCGGGCCTCGGTATGAGGAGGACATACATGAGCGCGGTTCTGTCGGCCGCTCATTATGGAGCTCCCGTGTGGAGTGCCGAGACGCAGGAGAAGGGGAGAGTCCGGAGCCGGCTACAGAACCGTGTCCCATGAGGTCGCTGCGATCCTCGCGGGGGTGCCGCCGGCGCCGGCGGAGCTGATAGCTGACGCACTTATGCTGGCGGAAACTTATGCCGGGGTGGCGGCCATTCGGTTGGGGGGCGGGCCGGTAGTCCCGCGGACGGTCGATGCCATCAGGGCGACGGCTCACCGGCGGGTGCTCGGGGAGTGGAAGAATAGGCTCGAGCGGTCCCCGCCGGAGACCGGGATCAGGACCGTGGAGGCCATCCTACCCTGTCTACACGAATGGATGGACAGGCGATGGGGCAGGCTGTCCTTCAGGCTGACGCAAGTGCTCACCGGACACGGTTGCTTCAGTGAGTATCTGTGTCGTATCGGTAAGGCGGCGACGACACAATGCCATCACTGTGAAGAGGGGATGGACTCCGCGCAGCACACACTGGAACACTGTCCAGCGTAGGCTGCACAACGCGAAGTCCTGACACAGGCGATTGACTCGGATCTCTCGCTTCCCGTGCTGGTTCGGAAAATGGTGGGAAGCGAGGGAGTATAGGTCGCAGCCGCCTCTTTCTGCAAGGAGGTAATGGCGCGGAAAGAGAAAGAGGAGAGGGAGAGGGAGAGGCGTGGGGACCGATGGTAGGTCCTATCGCGGCCGCGGCGGCGGGAGGCGGCTTCCTCTGCGCCGCCCCTCCACCAAAAAAACAATGAACGGCGGCGGACCGAGGGTTGTCTCTCTGGTGTTCGTAATCGGTCCGCCGCAGACTCCGGATGCTTCGAGGAGCCCGGCCTCGGGGGTTCGTCCCCGGGCCGGGCAACGGCGAGCGGAGGGGATCCCGACATTCCGGGGCCCCGTGGACCCGCCCCCTTCCCCTGCGGACGGCGGGGCAGGCGGGTCCAGGTTGGTCCTCTCGTTAGGGGCGATTACCGGCCCACCGCGCCTGTTTAACGAGAGGAAAGGAGGAACAAGGGGTTT